AGACGGTGCTGAAGGTCCTTCACCGTCTGCTCCAGGTTCTTCTTCATCCGCTCCAGGTGGGCGCTGGTGTCCTGCTCCTTCTTCAGCTCCTCGGCCATCATGGCCGCCTGTTAGCAGTGAAACAAAACCGGTTGAGAGCTGGGCGGGCGCATCAGGATTCAAGTTTGAGCACCACCGTGTTGCCCTCTGCTCACATCAGTGATGGCCTTCTTGGCCTTCTCTTCTGCGTTGCGGGCTTCCTGGACAGTGTCTTCCATCTCTCCCTGGATCTGGGAGATGTCTGTCTCCAGCTTCTTCTTGGTGTTGATCAGGCTGGTGTTCTGTTAAAATAACAAATTTAGAAATATCTAGTATATGAGAGCAAAGGTGGGATGCCAGATTTCTAATGAACTCACAGGCTAGTTAATTAAGTAATTAGTATCCCTCCTTGTTCAATGAGTTATCTGCGATGACAATATATTTTTGAACGACAATCAACTTTGGATGTCACAGTACAGATAAATATTACTAACCCACAAATATTAAATGTTTTAAATGTTATCCTCCATAAAACACTGTGAGTACATTCTTAGATAAAGCTACGATATGAGCAAGAATTTCATTTTCATTCCTTTGTATTTTTCACTCTTCTGTTATACTCACTTGGGTGTGGAGGAGCTGGACACGCTCACTGGCATCCAGGAGCTCCTGTTCTGCGATTTTCCTGCTCCTCTCCGTCTGCTCCAGGGTCGCCCGCAGCTCCTCGATCTCAGCCTGCAGCAGGTTGGCCCTGCGCTCCACCATGGCCAGCTGCTCCTTCAGGTCCTCCTGGCCCCGGAGCGCGTCGTCCAGGTGCAGCTGGGTGTCCTGTGGAATGAACGATCGTTGAGACACCTCGTTCTCAGGGCTGCAGTCTCCCCAAGCCCCTTGGGGCCCTCTTTCGAACCCACTTACTTTGAGGATGCCCTGGGTGTTCCTGTAGTTCCTCAGGGCCTCTGCAGCCATGCGGTTGGCGTGGTTCAGCTGGATTTCCATTTCATTGAGGTCTCCCTCCATCTTCTTCTTGAGCCTGATGGCGTCATTCCTGCTCCTGATCTCAGCATCCAGCATGGTCTGCATCGACTCCACGACTCTGATATGGTTTCTCTTCAGCTGGTCAATTTCCTCATCCTTTTCAGCGATTTTCCTGTCGATTTCAGACTTGACTTGGTTCAACTCCAGCTGGATGCGCAGGATCTTTCCCTCTTCATGTTCAAGAGATGCCTTTAATGACAGCAAGTGGTGACGTTAGCAGGGAATGGAAGCATCTGAAAGTTTATCTGCACACCTTTCCTTCCATGAATTTTGTGCTGCTTATTTTTTTAATTCAACCTATGTGGACGTGCCTAAGTATTTTCTGACCTTATTTGTTTGTAATGCACCATTTGACCTATACCTCTGCTTCCTCTAAAGCAGCCTGGAGTTCACACTTCTCTTGTTCCACTTGCTTCTTTATCTTCTCCAGCTCATGGATACGTTTCCCTCCTTCTGCAATCTGCTCCGTGAGGTCAGAAATCTCCTCTGTTGTTTGGGTTAAAGACAGGTAGAGATTTAATCAGACAGAGGACATAAGAGAGAGGTTCCTCAAGGCATGGATGTTGCTGAAAGTGAAAGGGACTCACGCTGCAAGTTTTTGTTCTCCCGTTTCAAAGTTTCTAGCTGATCCAGGGATTCCTCGTAGGCATTCTTCATCTTGAACAGCTCAGTGCCAAGAGAGCGGGCCTCCTTCTGGGAGGCCTCGAGCTCAGCGTGGGTCTCCTCATACTTCTGTTTCCACTCTGCCAGGATCTGAGAAACCGGGAGTGGTTATCTGCTGTCAAGTACCAAGGAAGACAGCGGAGAGCAGAGGCTGCAGCACAAGGTACCTTGTCGAAGTTCCTCTGCTTCTTGTCCAGAGCCGCGCAGGCCGCGTTTGTTCTCTCCACATCGAGCATGAGGTCTTCCACTTCGTTCTGGAGCCGCTGCTTCGTCTTCTCCAGGGAGGCACATTTGGCGTTCACCGCTTCTACGTGCTCCTCGGCCGCCTGCAGCCGCTGGGCCAGCTTCTTCCTTGAAGATTATATATGTTTGTAGGGAGGAGTGAACCAAAGCAAGAGAGAGGAACTATTACCACACTGAAGAGTGATGGAAACTTCATATTAGCAATATGCATGAATTCAACAAATATTGATGAGCTCCTTCTATGAACCACACACTGGATATGTAGCAGTGAGCAAGACAAAAGAACAAAAAAGAAGGTCCCTGCCTCATGAAACTTCCAAATGAGTGCGAGACAGAAAGGATAAGGGAGCGAGAGTATGCACAATAACATCTTGCAGATATAAGTGCAATGAAGAAAAGTAAAATAGAGTAAGGGTTGGGCAGTTATTCTAGATATTCAGGGAAGACCTCTCTGAGGAGGTAGCATTTGAGTCAAGATCTCAAAAGTCAGAGTGAGCTGGAGGGAGATCTGGGGGGAGAGCATTCCAGCAGAGGGACCAGCAAGTATAGAGCCTTGAAGCCACAATGAACTTGGTGTGCTTGACAGACAGTAATAAGGCCTAGTTGTCTGTATAATTATTTGTTACTCATTCCTCAAGCACAGGAGGGCAGGTATCACGTTTGCTTTACTCGTGTCTCATTCTCAGGGCCTGATAGCACCCGGCAAACAGGAGCTAATTAATGAACGTTTGTGGGTGACTTCACGGAGGGTTGGATCTTTCGGGATCAATGTGCAAAGCTTTCTGCACATTCTCTCATATCTGCACACGTACTTGGCCTCCTCCAGCTCCTCTGTGCGCTGGATGGCGTCCGTCTCGTATTTGGTCCTCCACTGGGCCACCTCGGTGTTGGCCTTGGACAGCGCCCTCTGCAGCTCGGCCTTGGACTCCTGCTCCTCCTCGTACTGTTCCCGCAGCAGGTCACAGTCGTGGCGGGAGGACTGCAGGGCGTGGGCCAGCGCGTTCTTGGCCTGTGGAGATAGTTACAGCTTCCTTTTATTGGATGTTTAATGTTTAATTCTTGAGTTTCAAACCCTTTAAAAGTTGGTGTAACGGACTCCAGTTAGGGTTAGGTCATACGACAAAAATGAGTCTGACAGTATTATTATTTACCTTTATCTCCTCTTCCAGCTGCCTCTTTAACTCCTCAATCTGTTGTGTAAATGCTTGTTTGCCTCGTGATAGCTGAGACACCAGAGCCTCTTTCTCATCCAGCTGTCGAGAAAATTCACCTGATCCACAAAAGAAATGACACCATTTTTAAAAGTGAAGAAACAATTTTACAAGCCCATATTAGAAGTAAATTTTAACTCTTAAATCCCCTCCCCCCCACCCCCTGCATTGAGTGCTCAAATGATTGAATTTTCTGCTGGCATCTTCATGCTTAATGTCAAATTTCTGATTTTTATGAGGAAACTTACATATTGATCTGAATGTATAAATACAGCTGAAATTCTTTTTGTTCTCTACCATAACTAAATCTCTCTGGGTATATGATATTGTGCCAAGTCTGGTTATGGGAGCCAGGGTACTGAATTCTACATGATCGCTGTTTCATCAGACTTTTGAGAGACGGGCTTATTGTGCATGCCCCATTCAGGAATTTGGTTCACTTTGGGGTGCCTGGATGGCTCAGTCACTTAAACATTGGACTTCAGCTCAGGTCATGATCTCATGGTTCGTGGGTTCCAGCCCCACGTCAGGCTCTGTGCTGACAACTCAGAGCCTGGAGCCTGCTTCGGATTCTGTGTCTCCCTCTCTCTCTGCCACTCCCCCACTCATGCTTTTCTCTCTCTCTCTCTCAAAAATAAATAAACATAAAAAACCTTTTTTTAAAATAAAGGAAAATAAAGGTTCACTTTGATGTATAGAAACAGAAACTCAGCCTGTAACAGGAGTCCCAGGCCCCAGGCGACAGTGACTCCTAATCCCAGGCAGCCCCTCCGTGTGGCCAGCCACTCTATGCTTTTCTGGAGCAGAGCTTGATCCACTCCTATTGAAGTCTTTGTATCTAGCGTTGTCCCCAAGTGACCTTGCAAGTAGGTCCAGAGTCTGAACCATTCCGTGAACCACACATGTTCTCAGTTTTTATTAGGCTCTCACATTACCAAATCGGTTGTTTCAACCGCACCATCTCCATTCTCAGTGCCCAGAAGAGGAGAGAATTACCGGATTCGGTCTGCAGGCGTCCTCTCTGGGTCGTCAGGTCATTGATCAGCCGCTGCTGCTCTTCCTCCTTTGACTTCAGCTCACTCACTTGATCCTCCAGCGTGCGGCACATTTTCTCTAGGTTGCCCTGTGAGAAGAAGTAAAAGCAGGAAACAAACATATTTTAATATCATTTTGCTATTGCTAAAATTTCTTATAAGACAGAAAAGTACTTATTTTGACGTAAAATCGATCAAATTCTTGTATGTGCAATGTGATATGTAAGAATTCTTTTTGTTATGTTATGATTGCTCTGTGAAGTTGAGAATATACTTTGGAATTTTTATTTATTTATTTTTATTTTATTATGAATTTTTTAAAGTTTATTTATTTTTGAGACAGAAAGAGACAGAGCGTGAGCGGGGGAGGGGCAGAGAGAGAGGGAGACACAGAATCTGAAGCAGGTTCCATGCTCTGAGCTGTCAGCACAGAGCCCGATGCGGGGCTGGAACCCACCAGCTGTGAGATCATGACCTGAGCTGAAGTCGGATGCTTAACCAACTGAGCCGCCCAGGCGCCCCCTACATTGGGATTTTTAAAGAGCTAACTGTGAAGCTCCATGCACTATTAATATAATAAATTTGAATAAATAAATTAACATAATAAATAATATGCTTTAAATGTAAGATTCTTGTAAGAACTGTATGGTGTATTCTTCTAAAAGCATGTATTCAAATACTTGACTGCCTTTATGTACTATGAAACTTGGCTTATTGGGTGCTTGAGAATATTGGAGACCTGTGTTCTCCATCTGGAACCTGTGAGAACATAGGTGACCTATGTTCAAAAGCTGGTCCTGTCATTTATTAATGGTGTAATGGGGCCAATGTGCTTAACTTCTTCGAATTTCAGTTTCTTCATATGTTAAATGCAAATAATACAGATACTAGTTTCTTTCTTGCTTACCCTAGATTACTGTAAAAAACAAAGGACATAATGTGTGTAAAGTACCATGTGCAAACTATGCTGCATACATAAAGGATTATTTCATTGATGACAAATTGCCAGGTTCTAATACCTTGGCCTTGGAGACAGTCTCCATGTTACTGGCCAGGTCGTCGATCTCCATCTTCAACTCGCTCTTCTCCTTCTCCAGCTTCTGCTTGACCCTCTGTAGGTTGTCTATCTGCTCCCCCAGCTCGGCCACGCTGTCCGCGTGCTTCTTCCTCAGGGTGGCCGCCGTGGCTTCGTGCTGCAGGGTGGCCTCCTCCAGGTCCCTGCGCATCTTCTGGAACTCG